CAAAGGGGGTAATGAGTGACAGGATAAGGGCCCATTCAGGGCATGGAGGCTGGTCAGGCTAAAAACCCACTACTTCAGGGTGTGGGTATAGCTCAGTGGTAGAGCACATGCTTAGCATGCGCAAGGTCCTGGGTTTAATCCGCAGTACCTCCCTTAAAAAAATAAATAAACCTAATTACTACCCCCCGAGAAAAATAAAGGCACAGTTATATAAGTTTATAACATTGTAAACTGACTATATTTCAATAAACATCTTTAAAAATTGAAAGAAAATAAAGGCATATAACTTAAAAAAAAACCCACTACCTTGATCTTTGGGTTGGGTTTGTTTGGTTTGTTTGTTTCCCGAGTGATCATTATTTTCTCTCTTTGTCAGGTCCCAGGAAGCTCAAAGCTCAATGACTGGTTTTCTGAGACAATCCTTTTCTCTTCTATTACAGGGCCCTGGTTCTTTAATTATCCTTATCTTGCCATATAGTAAATAGATAGGCAGCCCCTCTGATCTATATGGGGGAGGGCACCAAAACTGCCCTGTACATTTTGATGGAGCAAAACAGCAAAAAGTAAAAATACTAGCACTCATTGCTGGGGACGCTGTGGTTTTAAAGATGACACATGCAGCCAGTGGTCACGCAGGTGGCTCAGCCCTTTGGAAAATCAGCCTGGGAGTTTAGGCAGGGCAGGGGCAGGGGGCAAGCCTAGGGGTTTGGAGTCACTCTGCTTGGGTTCAGACCTTCAGTCTGCCAGTTCTGCCTGTGGGAATGGGTTCAACCTCTTGGTTTCTCCATGTCTAAGATTAGTGCACCCACCCTGGATTGTAGGGAATGAAATAATATTTATAACGTGTCCAGCACAAAGGAACCGAAGTAAGAGTTAGCTATTAATAAGAGTTTCAAGAGCTGTAAAGCCGTTTATATGCTGCTGACCTCATAAGGGCAGCACTGAGAATTTATCCTAGGAGGTTTCCTTTTTAATTTTAACATGAGGAAACAGCCAGAAGCACAAAGTGAACATGCAAAGGAGAGGGAGTCACAAGGTCCCACTCTGAGGCACAGTTCAGTGCCCACATCTCTGCAGAAGATGCTAACATCATGGAAGTCCTCACCCTGGAGCAGGCCAAGACATGTGCAGTGAAAAGAAAGCAAAAGTGGCGTTTCGCACAGGCTCGCTCGAGCGACGAGGACGGAAATGCTGCCCACGCACGTCCGGGCAACAGCAGAGGCGGCGGATTGCCTGGAGGGCTTGGGAAGGCTTTTCTTCTTTCTGATTTCAATTATGATTCTAAGATTGTTTGTGCCATTGTGATAAAGGAGTTCGGGGGGGTGTTTTTATTTAAAGACAGGGGAACTAACACCCATCCAATCTGTCCACTAGTCTCTGGGTCCCCTGTGAACACAGACCTACCCACTGGGCAGGGTACTTGTGGAGGGGAGTTTTGCACTGGCCTGAAGGCTGGACCAGATGCCTCCAAGGCTCTGGTCTAGAGTAGACCCCCTGGGGCACCTGCCCAGCCATGCCCTTTTCAGTGAGAAATTTCCCTCAGCACTGCCACAGCTGATTGGGCCAGGGGTGGGTGTCTGGGCCTTGCTGACTGATCAGAGTCTCTACAGAAACTCCACAGCCCTGACCCCAGAAAGTCACTGTGGCTCTGGGCCATGGAGGCCATAAGGGTGATGCCACATGGGCACAGGTAAGCTAAGGGAAGGAGCCTAGATGAATTTCTGTTGCTTGAAACCCAAAGTCTTCTGAGGCAAAGCTCTTGCTTCTTCCTCAAACCTGAATTTCACCCCTTCTCTCTCACCCAAGAACACCAGGGCAGCTGGGGACCCCATGGTCCAACAGCTCTTGCACCCCTTCAAGATAGGGGTGACAGCTTAGCCCACATGGGGACAGCAGAGTCACACCTGATAAGCACAGGTGTGTAGAGCAGGGCGGCGATGGGCGTCACGTTGATGCCCATCAGCATCTTGCTGTCGATGTCCGGCAGCCCCATGTTGCCATACTTCACCTCGCGGTAGGTCTCATCGTAGTGCAGGATCAGCTGCATCTGCAGGAGGCCTGGTGGGGAGGTGGGGGGAGCAGGCATGGAGGGGGCGGCCTGGCTCTGGCGGCAACCAACCAGAGGCTGGAACACAAGCCTCGGAGGGGGCTCCAGGCACCGAAGGGATCCTGGACTCTTAACACCCATGAGGACAGGCTGGACCAAGCGTCCTGCCAGCCAGTGGCAGCGGCAGTGGCTTGAATCCAGCCCCCCGGCCCCGCCCTGCATTGCTCCCCTGGCCTCTTGGACCCCAGTGCCCCTAACTCCTAAGGCAGCAGAACGGCCCAGGGCGCCCAGCCCCCTCCCCACACATTCAGGAAGGCTCTGGCTGGGTCACTGCAAGGCCCCGCCCCGCTGTGGGAAGGCGCGCTGCATCTGCGAGGGCGCAGTCGGGAAGTGAA